AACTACTACTACTACGACTCACTACTAATACGACTACTCACTACTACTACGACACTAACTACAACTACTACTACTACTACTACTAACTACACACTAACTACTACTACAACTACTACTACTAACTACTACTACTACTACTACTACAACTATCTCGCCGCCGAGGAAGCCGAACCGCCACGCCGCCCGCCGCGGCGCGGCGACGGCGTCGGCGACGACGTGGTTCGGTCGGGGTCGGCGGCGGCGGCGACGGCGACGGCGACGGCGGCCTCGACGCGGGCCCCTCGGCCTGCCGCCGTCTCCGACGGCGGCAGGACGAGAGCCCCAGGTCGAGGCAAAGTCGAGAATCTCCGGGACGCATCCGCCGTCCGAGAGCGCTGCGAGAGCGCTGCGAGAGCGCTCTGAAGCGCTCTGGACCGAGTCATCCTCGTCCCGACTGGCCCGTGTTTGGTGGGCCTGTATTCCACCGCCGCCACCACCATAAGTTGGAGGGGGGAAGGAGGCGGAGGATGATGATGATGATGATGATGATGATGATGATGATGAGGAGGAGGAGGAGGAGGAGGAGGAGGAGGAGGAGGGAGGGGGGACCCCCTCCCCCTCGTACTTATGGTGGTGGCGGTGGAAGACAGGCCCGCCCCGAGTTCGCTTCGCGAGGGACGCTTCCAGGCAGGCCTACGACAAAGCCGCGCGCCGGCCGGCGGGGAAGAGAAAGTGACGCGGCCGCGGCCCGAGGGCTCTTTGGCCGCCTCGCGTTCCCTGTCCTTGCGGGCTCCAGCGTCCAAAACTTCCTCCTCCTCGGTCGTCGTCATCGTCGTCATCGTCGCCGCCGTCATCCCCGCCGTCGTCGTCTTCGCTGTCACCCTAATCGTCGTCGCCGCCGTCGTCGCCGCCATTATCGTCGACGCCGTCGTCGTAGTCGTCGTCGTCGCCGCCACCGTTGTCGTCGTCGTCGTCGTCGTGGTCGTCGTCGTCGTCGTCGTCATCGTTGTCGCCGTCGCCATCGCCAACGTCATCGTCGTCGCCACCGTCGTCGTCGTCGTCGTCGCCGCCATCATCGTCGTCGAAGAGACCGCGTCTAGCATGCCCGCGCACGGCACAGCGATCGGACAAAGAGCCGTCCGCGCATCCGAAGCTCCTGAGGCCGCACGCTCACAGAGTGAGCTGATGCCGCCCCTATCCCCAGCAGCGAGCGGCGCTCAACACGGTAGGGGGCCCAAGAGTGCCCGGGAAGCTTCATGGGCAGTCTGAAAACGTCGGGAAGCGAAACAGACGAGAATGGGGAAACCTTTCAAACACCTGAAGCAGATCCACGGTTTTTGGCTTTTGGGGACCCTCAAGGAGGGCTTCTTGGAGCCCTCTCAGGGCGTTTGGGAGGCCTCGTTGTCATTTCTATGTGTAGAGACCAAAAGCATACGCATACGCATACAGATGTGCATATGTGTATAATAAATGTTTATACAGCGTCATCCCCTCGTCGCCCGCAGATTGTTCATCTGTAGCTGAACCATCACACGTATCGTAAACCCTGGACAACTCACAACCTACCTCGAGGCCTGTGGTTCAGGGTCGCATCACGCACAAGGTAGAACGAGACCCTGCTGATGGCATTTCCAGTTTTGAGATGGCCTCCGTACAAAATACGGCCACATGCTCACGAATATTGTCTTGACAATCTGCTCTGTTGAGCCGACCGGGCGACGACGCAGATCCATCGGATCTGTAGGCTGCACATGATTTTCCCCAGCACCACCCTCTCCACCCTCTCCTTCTCGCTCCCGCCCCTTCTCCTCTCCACTTCCATCCTCCCTTGTCCCTCCACCCGTTGCCCACCGCATCATCCATCAGGGGTGGACCTAAACGGTGTTTTGGCGATTTCGTGGGCCGTTTTCGTCTCGACTTCGTTCTGCGTCAAAGGCGGATTGAAGACACAACGAAGGAAAACGAAAACGAAAACGAAAACGAGAAACACCCTCTAGGAGTCCTGTCATCCACTCCTTCCCTCGCCCGGCGCACACTCCCCACAACATTACCCCCCTCGCTGCCCCCTCGCCGCCAAGAAGAGAGAAGGCTCCGCGTCTGCCCCGGCACCGCTCCGCTTCTCCTTGATGTAGGACTGGTTCGACTCGAACCTGCGGTCCACGTCCTCGAGGGAGCGGTGGGCCCAGGTGAGGGAACTGGTGCAAGAGGAGATCGCGCCAGGGGAGGAGGGACGAGGGCACTTGAGCAGGGACCGACCGTCCAGGCATCTCTGTAGGCATACCACGAAATGTTCTTAGAAACCCAAAAGTGCTCCAAAAACAAAAACAACGTTCTCGGAGCATCAGCCCGATGCATCAAACAAAAAAAAGGCGGTCCCAGCCAGAAACGCTCTGAGGACCTCTCGCCGAAGCCGCCAGAAGGCTCTTGGAACATTCTCTGGTAGGCCTGCAGGCGAGCCAGTGTACATGATGAGCCGTGGACGGCATTCTGCTGCTGCCAGTACTCCGCCACCGGGTTCCTGTACAAGGCGTTCCTTTGCAAGCACGTCGTTTTCGGCACCGCCTCATCCCGAGGCTTTGCCTCCTCCTGGCCTCGCCGTGAGGCTGCGCTCCTTCCCGCCCCGTCTCTGTGAATTCAAGCTTCGCGCGGCCCGCTCAGCTTCGACCGGAAGAGGTGCGCTCTCGACCCGCGAATCAAAAAGCAGGCGAGCCAGGGCGCTTCGCCACTGCTCGAGGCACGAGGGCGGGGCAAGGGGATGTCTTCCTCCTCCTCCTCCTCCTTCTCCTCCCCCTCCTCCTCCTCCTCCCTCCTCCTCCTCCTCCTCCTCGTCCTCCTCCTCCTCCTCCTCCTCCTCCTCCTCCTCCTCCTCCTCCTCTCCTCCTCCTCCTCCTCCTCCCTCCTCCTCCTCTCCTCCTCCTCCTCCTCCTCCTCCTCCCTCCTCCTCCTCCTCCCTCCTCCTCCTCCTCCTCCTCCTCCTCCTCTCCTCCTCCTCCTCCTCCTCCTCCTCCTCCTCCTCCTCCTCCTCCTCCTCCTCCTCCTCGAGGGCGTGTGGTGTTCTGAATGTGGCTCCCGCCTTGACGCCGCGCACTTTCGTGCGTGACATCTGCAAGAGTTTCACGGATTGAGTGCGGGCCGTGTTCGAAATGTGGCTCTCGCCCTAGCGCCGCGCACATTCGTTTAGAAAATTCGGAAGAGCTTCACGGATTGAGGGCGGTTCCTTCTCAAAATGTGGCCATCGCCCTAGCGCCGCGCACATTCGATCATAAAATTCGGAAGAGTTCCACGGATTCCCATGATCAGCGTACCAGAAATGGTGTTTGGAAGGATTCAGGATTATGCGGGTGCGACAGTTATGTTGATTCGCGATGTTGAAGTCCCAAAAATGGCGTTCTGGCACGATTCCAGAGGCCGAGGGAAGGGAAGAACAGACCATGGAATCAAAGTCACCAATCGAAAACCAAGGATCCGCTTGTCCAGGGCGAGAAACAAGGGAAACCTCTTGCTGGGGGCCATCCTGTAGATTCTTTGGGGACAAATTGGGGCTCTCTTCGGGGCCACCTGGAGGCCCCTTCAGGTCGGCTGAAGCCGAGTCGGAGGGCCCGCGGAGGCGCCAGAGCGATCCTGGGACGTCTCGGCGCTGGCCTGGGCCTCCGGGGCCGGCTGGAAGGCTCGCACGGGCACCTTGTGGACCCTTCTCGGAGGCCTCCGGGTGCCGTCTGGGAGCAGCTGGAGCTGGAAGTGACAGCTCGTTCTGAGAAGCGGACTGGAGACAGCTGCTGCGAGGTCTCGCTCTTGGCCGCGTGCCTTGCAGCCAAGGGGCGAAACCTTCTTGTGCCCAGAACGGTTGGGCGCACGAAAAGCGCAGAAGGAGCAGTCACGGAATAGCCCAAGGTGCAGCGGCCACCTGCCTAACCCGAACTGCTCCGTGTTTCAGCGTCTTGACTATTTGGGTGGTGCTGCATGGCTAGCGCCCGGTGATGCTGAAGGCTCTGCTTGCAGTCTGCTCAGTGATGCTGGCAGTCCACGAGAATATCCGCCGGCCCCCTTGCGGGGCCATCAGGCTGCGAGGCTTAGGTTTGCTGCTCCCTGCAACAGTTCCAGTTTCCAGTTTCCAGTTTCCAATGTTGTGTTCTGCTTCTTACTGCAATTTGTTACTGTCCGCACGAGGGGGGGGAGCCGAAAACCAGCTCGGCTACCCGAAAACCAGCTCGCGTGGCGTCCCCTAATCACATCCTCAGAATTTCCAGGGGGCACTGGGACATGTAAAAGTACATGAGGTTCGTGCTCCCGACGCAATAATCCCGCGTGAAATACGCTATATTCGCGCCCACGAGGCCAAGATCCCTAGTAAATTACCCTGTATTCGTGTCCCCGAAGCCACGATCCAAATTACGCCACATTCACGCTCCTGAAGCCACAATCACCCCTAAATTCTGCCACGTTCTCGCCTCTCGGGCCACGATCTGGAGGCTACGATCCCTCGCAAACACATTCGCGCGCCCGAGGCTACGAGCTCCCGTAAATTACACCACGTTCGCGCCCCCGAGGCCACGATCCCGTGAAAAATACGCCACACTCGCGCCCCCCAAGCCACGATCCCTTGTAAATCGCACCACGTTCGCGCCCCCGAGGCCACGATCTCCTACAGGAGGCCCCAAGAGGCGCCCAAGACGCGCCCAAGAGGCCTCCAAGAAACCCAAAAGATACCCCACGAGGTCCCAAGAGACTCCCAAGAGGCGCCCTAACCGCCTCCAAGAGACCCCCGAGAGGCTCACCACGACACCCCAACACATATACAAAAGGCCTCAGACCCACAACCCAGGCACGATGGCGGGATGGGCCGAAGGCCACTAGGATCCGCCGCCCCCTGTCGATTCATCGCAGGGGTGCCTGGCGTGCTAGACCCTCTCGGATTTGGTTTTGGTTTTTTTCCAAAAGAACTCCCCCTGGGCCTTCGGTGCGTCCCGGCGGGGTCCTGGTGGTTGCCGTGGGTTTTCCTGCTTCAGACGGCTCCAAGATGGCCCAAGATGGCCTCCAAGATGGCCAGCCATGTTGGCCCGAGATGGCCTCCAAGATGGTCCAAGATGGCCTCCAAGTCCGCTCAAGATGGTCCAAGAAGGCCTCCAAGACGGCCTAAGAGAGTCCAAGACGGCCCAAGAGGCCCCCCAGAAGCATCCAAGACGGCCCAAGAGGCCTCCAAGAGGTCCTCCAGGAGGGCCCGAAGAGGCCCAAATCATTGATGTTCCATCGGTTTTTGAAGGATTTTGGCATTAGCTTCCTCGGCTTTCCGACGACCCAAGACGGCCCATGAGGCCCCCAAGATCGCCCCCACAGCGCCCAAGAGGCCTCCAAGATGGCCTCAGGACTGCCCAACAGGCCCCCAAGACGGTCTCAAAAGGGCTCAAAGACGACCCAAGAGGCCTCCGAGACACAAGATGGCCTCTAAGACGGCCCTTGCGCACCCCAAGAGGGCCCCAAGTCGGCCCAGAAAGGCTCCCCGAACGGCTTCCGACGGCGTCAGACGAGCCAGGAGCCCACCAAGATGACCGAAGTTGGATCGAAGCTGGCCCGAGACGGCACAAGAGGCCTCCAAGAGGGCCTCCAAGAAGGCCAGAAAAGGCAAAAACATACTGATGTTCCGACAGTGTTTGAACGATTTTGGCATTTGTTTCGTTTCGGCCTTCCGACGGCCCGATACGGCCCGAGAGCCCCCAAAGATCGCTAAAAGATCGCCCAAGAGGCCTCCAAGATGGCCCCAGAACGGCCCTAGGGGCCCCCAAGACGGCCCCAAGACGGCCCCAAGAGGCCCCCAAGACGGCCAAGGAGGCCTTTTAGACCCCCAAGATAGCCTCCAAGACGGCCCTCGAGCATTCCAAGAGGGCCCCAAGTCGGCTCAGAGAGGCCCCCCAAACAGCTTTCGACGGCGTCGGACGGGCCAGGGGCCCACCAAGACGGCCGAAGATGGCACTAAGATGGCCCAAGACGGCCCAAGAGGCTTCCAAGAGGGCCTCCAGAAAGACCAGAAAAGGCCAAAATTATTGATGTCCCAAGAGTTTTTGAAGGATTGTGGCATTTGCTTTTTGTTCGGCCTTCCGACGGTCAGAGACGACCCAAGTGCCCCCAAAGATCGCCCAAGAGGCCCAAGACGGCCCCAAAAGGCCATCAAGACGGCCCAAGAGGCCTCCAAGAGGCTGAAGATGGCCTCCAAGACGGCCCAAGAGCCCTCCAAGACGTCCTCCAAGAAGGCCCGAAAGGCCAAGAGTACCTTCAAGATGCCCACGTGTTCCCCGAAGGCTTTCCAAACCGATTCGGGGAACACATGTTCCGATAGCTAGGCAGGCCTCTGGCCACAACCTTCGGGCACATAGGCGTTTCCAAACAGGCAGGGGGCGGCGGTGATTCGCCGTAGGCGTCTTCGATAACGCCAACGCTTCAATATGCGCTGATGACTCCTATCCGCCCCCGCATGCTCTTCCCAGATGCGCCAAGGCAGCGCGGAGACACACCGACGCGACTCTGCTTCACCCATTGAAATAATTGTGGATGCCACGATAATGGGGACAGGCTAACAGTCCTATATTAAATACGTGTTCAAAATGAAGGAAAAGTGTCCTGGAAATGTCTAAAACCTCTTATTTTAATGTTCCAAACTGTTCTAACACATGTTCTAGACCTCTGGGAATTGTTTGGCAGCATGCTTCCCTCTTCAGTGATCGTCCCCCACAGCTCTAGTAGAGAGGGGGGGCCGGCGGCAGGGGGCGAAGCGCTCACGGACGATGAGGGCACCCTTTTCCGTGGCCATCTCCCCCACCCCGATGCCAGCAGGGACCGACGGACGGCCACGGGCAGACGAGGGCGAGGGGGAGGGGAGGCGATCGCGCAGGATCGCCAGGCAGCGAGGTGGTGAGCACGAAGCTCCCACCCCCCGCAAGCCTCCTCTCCCCCTTGTCCCTCCTCCCCCCCCCTCCTCCTCCTCCTCAACTTCCTGTGTCCTTCCCTTCGCCGTCCATCCCCTCCCCTGCTGTCCCGTTCCCCCCCCCGGCACCCTCGACTCCTGGAGCAGCTGCAGCAGGTGCTGACGCAGGACGGGCCTCCACTTCTTCCGGTAGCGGCGAGACTTGGGATCCTCCTCGAACATCTCCTCGGCACGAGGGAGGGAGGAAGGGTCATCCTCGAACACCTCCTCCTCGAACATCTCATCCTCGATTGTTCAAGGGATCCTCCTCGAACATCTCCTCCTCGAACATCGCCTCCCGCTGCTCCTCCTTGCCCCCCTTCGATGGCCGCGGAAGCGGCGGGGCCGCTTCTTCACCCTCCTCCTCCTCCTCCTCCTCCTCCTCCTCCTCCTCCTCCTCCTCCCTCCTCCTCCTCCTCCTCCTCCTCCCCCTCCTCCCCCTCCTCCTCCCCCTCCTCCTCCGTTTCTGGAAAAATGTCCCTTGAAAACAGAGGCGGTAAACATACAGCGACGGGAAACGGCGACGAAACAGCTCCAGGATTCAAACCTGAACCCGAACCAGCAGAAAAACAGCGACGGAACCGGGAGGCCCCCCTACCCATGGGGCAACCAAAAGGCATCGATATCGCTACTCCCCAGACCTCTGCTGGGGTGCGTTCTGCCCAGCATTTCCAGGCGAATCCAGCGGTGGCGACGAGGGCCTCCGAGGAGGCCCAAACATGTGAAGAGGAAGGAGTGGTAGTTCGGTTGGTGGCACGCCCTCAAACTAGTGTATGTTGTCTTCGGCGAGCCAATGACACATCAGAACACGTAGCTTCTACACATCACACAGACATGTGCAGAAGCAAATCGCAAATCCTACACTTGAAGCAAAAGTGTGCAAAAGGGCAAAACGGACTGTGCAGAGGAAGGGCGCTATCACTGTGGAAGGTGCGCCTGCTCCCAAAGATGGGAAGAGGAAGGAGTGGTAGCGCCTTCTCCTCCTCTCACTCCCCCCTCCTCGTCCCTCCCAATCCCCTCCTCCCCGACGTCCTTCTGCTCCCTGGAATCGGTACCTTCTCCTCCTCCCACTCCCCCCTCCTCGTCCCTCCCAATCCCCTCCGTCTCGTCCCTCCCAATCCCCCCTCCTCCTCGTCCCTCCCAACCCCCCCTCCTCATCGTCCCTCCCCCCCCTCCTCCTCGTCCCTCCCAATCCCCCCCCCTCCTCGTCCCTCCCCCCCTCTGCTCTCACTCCCCCCTCCTCGTCACTCCTCGACGTCCTTCTGCTTTCTGGGCCTGCCGCTTCGGAGGCAGGCCGCCATCCCAGCCCGGGCCCTCTTTCCTGCTCTTCGCCGTCCACACTCCCCCACCCGCCATCCTGTCCCTCGCTCCGACTTCCTCCTCCTCCTCCTCCGCCCACTCCTCCTCCTACATTCCTCCTCCTCCTCCTCCTCCTCCTCCTCCTCCTCCTCCTCCCTCCCTTCCTCATGATCATCAGCTCAGCATCATCAGCATCATCATCATCATCATCATCATCATCATCATCTCATCATCATCATCATCATCATCATCATCATCATCCTCATCCTCATCCTCATCCTCATCCTCATCCTCATCCTCATCCTCATCATCACACCACCACCACCACCATCATCACCATCACCATCACATCATCTCATCATCATCATCATCATCATCATCATCATCATCATCATCATCATCATCATCATCATCATCATCATCATCATCATCATCATAGCATCATCATCATCATCATCATCATGCATCATCAGCATCATCATCATCATCATAAGCTAAGCATCATCATCATCATCATCATCATCATCATCATCATCATCGTCATCATCATCATCGTCATCATCATCATCGTCGTCGTCGTCATCATCATTATCATCAGCAGCATCATCATCATCATCATCATCATCATCATCATCATCATCATCATCATCATCATCATCATCATCAGCATCATCATAATCATCATCATCATCACCATCACCATCATCATGATCAACATCATCATCATCATCATCAGCATCATCATCATCATCAGCATTATCATCAGCATCATCATCATCATCAGCATAATCATCATCATCAGCATCATCATCAGCATCATCATCAACATCATCATTAGCAGCATCAGCATCATCATCATCATCATCATCAGCATGATCATCAACAGCAGCATCATCATCAACATCAGCATCATCATCATCAGCATCATCATCATCAGCATCAGCATCATCGTCATCAACAGCATCATCATGAGCATCATCATCAGCAGCAGCAGCATCATCATCCTCATCAGTAGTATCATCATCGTCATCCTCATCCGCATCATCATCCTCATCATCATCATCAGCATCAGCATCATCATCATCATCATCATCATCATCATCAGCATCGTCATTACCAGTATCCTGAGCATAAGCATACACATCATCGTCATCATCATCAGCAGCATCAGCATCAGCATCAGCATCAGCATCAGCATCAGCATCAGTATCATCAGCATCATCATCGGCATCATCAACATCATCAGCATCATCAGCATCAGCAGCAGCAGCATCAGCATCAGCATCAGCATCATCATCGTCATCATCATGGTCAGCATCATCATCAGCGTCATCATGAGCATCAGCATCATCATCAGCATCATCATAATCATAATCCTCATCCCCCATCTTCCTGCTCCATCCTCCCTCTCAATCCCCATCCTCCTCCTCCTCGTGGTCCGTCCTCATCCTCCTCCTCCTCTTCCTCCTCCTCCTCGTGCTCCAGCCTCCTCCTCATTCTCCTCCTCCTCCTCCTCCTCCTCTTACCTCTTACCTGACTGGGCGGCCAGTTCCTCTGTTAGGGGCCGCGTGGCACTGATGCCACTCAAAAAACAATGGGTCTGGGTCCTCGTCCTCATCCTCCTCATCCCCCTCCTCCTGCTCCATCCTCCCTCTCTATCCCCATCCTCCTCCTCCTCCTCCTCCTCCTCCTCCTCCTCCTGTTGCTGTTCCTCCTCCTCCTCCTCCTCCTCCTCCTCCTCCTGCTCCATCTTCCCTCTGTATCCCC